ATAAAAGGCGAATTAATATTAAAAGTACGTGACAGGGAAGATATTGTATTGTATGCCAGCTTTTGCAAAACTTCTCTCAGCATAACACTATTGATCGTAATCTTCCACACATATAAAGACCACACAGAAGACAACATAGATTTTTTGACTAACTAACTTAAAATCTTGTGAGTTTCAGGTAATTTTTTCAAATATAAAATTTAAAACAAATAAAAATATCAGAGACGAACACTACCAGTCACCATTAGATATCTTACGCCGCTTGGCTTAACACAGTTATTCATTTAAGGAGTTTTCAAAATAAGGCGCTATGTCGAAAATGGTCAAGAAAGTGGATGAGAAACATTTTCAATAGGGTTCATTGTTGAACCAAAATATATCGGTGCACCACATTTCATCAAAACATATAAAAAATTTGGCACTTGCAGACAAGCCTAAGTGAGTCTATCTCAAGTCCTACTCGATACTGTGTACATCCGCAAAGGATACAAAAACATGACGACTAATTGAATTTTTATTTTTCTAGGAAAAATCGTTTCAGAATCGCTTGACAAGAAAAACAAAATTCCAATCTATCGAAAAAAATTACTGTACAACTATGTTTGAAAGCTCAAGTTGGCCTCATCGAGACAACCCGTTTACCAATATATATTTTCTTTATACTACACGCCCCTTCCTGAATTGAACGCCAAAACATTTTATCTCAAAACGATAGGCACCGAAAGAAAGCCTTAAGTTTTACTAAACGACGGCCAAGTAAACGGATTTGAGTGATTACTAAAAGAGTTTCATTTTGATTCGATTTTAGCGAATCTGGCAAACAACTTTTTCATGGCAAATTAAGAAGAACTTTTAGACGTCGCGTTAACATGCGCATATATATCTTGGGGCGATAAAAAAAACTCCTCATAGAGATAAGAAAGGGTGGTTCGCCAGAAGGTACCTCCTTTTCAAGATGACATTTTTTGCTATGTAGTCACGCTGCTATTGTTATCCATGATGTGGAAAAGTTGCCATGAATAGATTTTTATGGATTTAAATAATAGTAACTGGGCTGAGAGCATGGTTATCGACAATCTTTAGGAAAAGACAGGTACGATGTGTTTCTCACGCTTAAGTACTTGTCTCCCCTTTTCATTTTACAAGGTACCACGGATATCAGCGACCCATGTAGGTTTTCTTTTCATTTTCTTGAGTGCTCCCTCCAACTGGCAACAGTCAGTCAGCGTTGGTGGGTTATCATGGCGACATTAACTATTGATGAATATTGATTGTTCGTTCAACTCAATGATACAGATTGTTTCATTCTCGGACTAGCACTAGCACTGGCTATCGTTTCAACCGTTTAAATCGTGTACCGTTAAAGTAAACATTTTTAATGCACTAGTCCATGCTGTGCTTTAGAGATATTATCGGCTTCATGATCACATTTAAATAAAGCAATAATTCGCCTCAATAATTTGCTTCGAATTCATTAAAACAAACAAAAGGCATCTGAATATATTCGGAATATGTTTCAAGCCAAGCAAATAAGCAGATTATGATTAAATATTAATAATTATTGTTGATTGGTTAGATAGTAAAATTTGTTTTATCAATCAATTTATCTAATCCGATAGTGGCAATAGTTTTCCATTAAGTGCTTAACAATGAACAATAATTATTTAAGATATCCTTCAATATCAATGATGAATGAATATCAAATTATAATCCATATATGTATATATACCCTCTCAGATGACTTTGGATAATTAAATTTTATTTTATTGTTTACAATCCGGTTCATTAAATCAATTCTTATTTTTGTTTACATTAATAGAGAAGCCAGGAGTCTATTTACTTTATTTACTTCATATTTACCATCTGGTCGCTATGAATTTATATTCAGTTTACAATAACCTGAGGTAAGCCTACGTAATAATAATCCTTCGTGCCTAATAGCAAAGTAAACAAATGAAATTAAAATTTATTTATTTGTTGCTATTCCATTAATTATGAAATTAATGAGTTTCCCCGTTGCATAGTTGCACAGCAACTATATACAGCTCATCAAATATGCATAAATAAGAATTTTATTCATAAACATTTGATCATCATCAATTCACAATATGCATAAAATTTTCATCTAATTGTATGGAAGACATTGAGCCTCAATGATGAATGATACAATTATTTTGCATACCATCCTCGACGTGAGAATAATGCCTCAAGGATAATTAATTATTTTAAAAGCAGATATTTTTTTTTTTTTTTTGTTTAAGATAACAAAAATTTATTTTACTTGTGGTTGGTTCTTAACAAAAATGAATCAATAAATAAATGAATAAATATGCTAACCGACTAAGCTTCCATTCTATTTCGTCTGGCTATGAATGGATATAAAGCTAGGAGATATCAGCTACAATAATATATAAGTATGAACTTAGCCTACTTAACCGCATCGTAAACACTATTGCAACAACAAATTATATTTGCTATTAAACTTCCTGGAATTATTAATTTACAAGTGAATCCACGAAATGTAATGTAATGAATGAAAACGAAAGGAGAGGAAAAGTTTCAAACAATATTCATACATATAATTATAATCTTCCTTTAAAACTGATATCCATTTAAGGTATATTTTCAGTACTCACTCTATGAAAGGCATTTATTTCCCTTTTCTATGAAAAATTATTTAAACTTCTTAAGGATAAAGTTAAAATTTTAAAATCGAGGAAGGTCGACTATTAAATACGCTAACAATTCTTACAAGCAACTTCTTCTTGTGAAAAACTTACATATATATATATATATATATATATTTGAGCATTTGAAGCGTAATATGTTGCAAGCTCGTTACAGCGACACCTATATGCTATATCATTATAAAAATAGCATTCCATTGACTTGCCTTTTTGTAAGAGATATCCTTCGATTCAATAGATTCCGTTCTTGGGGCCAAAACATGTTAATTTACCAAATTCCGTTAAAACATCGGCATAATATCGACTAAAACACGAATGCTTGGGCAAGCATCAAACGGACAAACTAGCAGAAATGCTTAGATCGAGTTAGAAAGCTACGCTGAGTCAAAAGCGGGACCGATGTCAAACCGTTATGGCTGTTGCATTGAACGCAAACAGGTGTAGATCGTCAGTTTTCTCTTGACATATAACTTTCAGCTATTCTAACGAATCTGTTTTCCGAGACGGTTCAATATGCCGAAGGGGTTACGAAACGCCCACACTGATGAGACCATATCAATTGAGTAACGAAATTAAAATTAAATTAAATTATTAAATTAAATTAAATTAAATTATTACAATATTTAATAATTTAAATAATTTACCTTCTGAATCATCCACACGACAAGTGCCGTATTATATATATATACTCTTGATCAATACAAAGTTATTCAATATATGCTGTGGCAGCTCAATCACAGAAACAGTGAACAGTACCTTTACCAAATATCAAACAAGATCTGTATATGGCCAAGTATCGATAATCATTCCGTTTAGTAATATAGAATATCAACCAAATTTCGACCTGCTTATCTTTACCGCGTAACGATGGCGGCAAAGAATTATGAAAAGTCAGTAATCTATAATGATAGCCTGTAAAAAGACCGCGAGACTAATGAGAGGAAATTTCAAAGCCTATAGCAAAGCTTATATCTAGTAAGGATATCTCGATGCGTAATAGGATTGAATGGGCCTTGGTAACTCGAAGTTTTCTTCTTTTTTTTTTTCAAAACAAATTAAAAGAAAGTCCACAATTTTAATCTCTTAACCTAAAGCTGAGATGAAGCGATGTTCTCACACATTTTCTCTATAGCCCAAATCGGAGAGGTGAGTAACGATAACAAGAAAAATTTCATAATCAAATTAAGAAGATGAGTTAAGAAGATGAACGAGCAAAGCTTTGCCTGAGGAACAGGTACACCATTATTGCTATGCGCACCATTAACGATGTAATAAAGCCCAGATCGGAATAAATTATTGAATTGAGTTAACCGTTCCGTATCAAGCAGGTCGCATCATTGTCCCGTTAATTCTCAAAAAGTTCTCATTATTCAAGACACGTTTACTATATTCGGACTTAAATATATCTTCATTTCAATGTATATTGTCCTCAACATAACTAAATTTGACGTAATTTGATTCACCTTAATAGATTTTATAACCGATTTGTCGTAAAAGTTCGATGTGTTACATTAGAAATAGTACTCACAGAGGAATATATATATATATATATATATATTTTTTTTAAATAATATGACCAATCGTTTAGAAAAAAAAAAGGGAAGAAGAAGAAGCAAACAGAGAGGTGATGGCCGTAGGCTAATGAGTGTCCGCAAAATAAAACTCTACCGCATTTGAGACTTGAACCCGCAAACCCACTGATTTCATAGTCGTGATAGTTATCACCTACCCGGCTACTCCGTCAGAAGACTCAACTCGCTTGATTAATGATAAAAAAAAAGAAAAAAAGTTTCTACACAGTTTTATTATTTTGTTTTTTCATTTTTTCAAATAATTAAAAAAAAAAATTTTTTTTCAAATATTTCAACAAATGTATACATACCTACCGCAGTGTGAGAAAATGCAAAAAGAAACCAATAGATCATTAATTGGACTTTCGTAAATAAATTTAAGAAATTGACCCATAATTTCGTGGTCATAAGGTAAAATTACCTCTTAAGTATCAATCGTTTTTTATTTATTTTTTTTTTTTTGTTTTTTGTTTTTTCGTCTTTTTATCGGTCATTAGGAAAAAGTAAATTTGAAAAGTTGAGAAAAATTATGAAAATCAATTACTATAAAAAAAACTATGCGCTGTAAACAGGTGCAAGTAATTTTCCTTAGGTAAATTAACTATAAAAGGAATTCATATTTAAATTTATTTCTATGGTATGGACTTGTCACCTTGACAAATACTATAAATTGAATTTATTTGAAATGTACTCAAATTAAACGATTGTCTTAACTGATTGCGAGTGGCTGAGTTTATTAGATATGGCTGTCGCTAAAATTCATACGTGGAAAGCATTCGAATACCATTGGCGTTTGTGGAAATTTTTTGGTTTAAAATCACCGCCTCGTAACTCAGTGTGGTTTAAACCGTATGTGGCGTATGCAATATTATTAAATATTAGCGTAACATTATTGTTTCCATGTACACTAATCATTAATCTGTTTTTATCCAAGAGTATGAATGAATTCTGCGAATATCTCTATCATACGATAACAGATGTGATTTGTAATATCAAGTTTTTAAATTTGTTTTTGGTGCGCAAGAAACTTTTGCAAATCAATCAAATTTTGAAACGTTTAGATATGAGAGCTCAAACGCTAGAAGAGATTAATGAATTGCAAAAGGGTGTGAATTCGGCTCGAAATTGTTTCAAAATTGTTGCACGACTGTTTAGCGTTGCGTTAATTACCAGTCAATTGGTGGCTTATCTCTCACCGGAACGTATCCTAATGTATCCGGCTTGGTTTCCTTGGGATTGGCACGCCTCAAAAAGGAATTTTCTTTACGCTTATTCATATCAATCGTATGGTTTGATATTGCAAACAGCGCAAAATCTCGGTAGTGATACTTATCCGCAAGCCTATCTTGTCATCTTGATCGCTCATACAAAAGCATTATCATTGCGCATCAAAACTTTGGGTAGCAAAGTAACTCCATGCAGTACCGTGAATGCAGAATTTAAAAAAAAAATCGAAAATCACTTATATCGTGAATTAATCGAGTGCATAATTGATCATGAAACGATTAACGAGTAAGAAGAAATTCAAAACATTGCGTAACATCATGTCGTTCTCACTCGCATTGCAGTCTATTTCGTATCGTTCAACAGGGCATCTCCAACACTTGTTTGGCTCAATTCTTTTGCACTGGCCTTGCGCAATGCACTATCGGTGTTTATACTTTCTATGTGGGATTGGATTATTCAAAATTGCTAAATATTATTGCCTACATTTGTGCTGTAACGGCGGAAATTTTCATCTTATGCTATTACGGTGACTTGTTCTGCCAGGCGAATGAACAACTTATTGATTCAATATACTCATGCAATTGGGTGGATCGCGAAAAAAAATTTAAACAAGCTCATCGCTTTCTATTACAAAGATCTCAAAAGATCAATACAGTTATGGCTGGTAATATAATACCCGTCAGTTTACCCACATTTGTTACGGTAAAGAACGAATCTTAAAGACTATATCCTTATCTTATCTCATATCATGTAACTAAAATCATTGTCGTAGTAATAGAGTTGCATTAAGAATGATCAGCCATTCAACGAAACTTCATAAACTATAGATAATCTCTCCCGACCCAAACATTTGTAAAATTCCGTTAATAATCATTTGAAAAAAATTTCATATTCAAAGCAAATAACTTTGGCTAAGAGATGCACTCTTAACGAATGAGAGTGCGTTATACCGCAAAGCAGATGTGTTAAAAAAGGGGCTGGAAAAGTGATAGTGAGGGGAACAAGAACAGGATGAAGTGTTGGAAGACACATAGGGAAGGAAGGGCCGATCCGGGAGAAGACGCTGAGAGAGAGGCATAGACAGAGAGGATACCGAAGAAACAAAGGGTGATAGGTCAAGAGTAGAGAGGGAAAGAAATGTAGAATGCATGGCGGCCTTCGTACATTAAATGTTAATCTCTGCTTATATTATATTCTCCGGAGCAATCAAACTGTTTTAAATTAGCTCAACTGAAAAACATATAATAATAAAGATCTGTTCAGAGTAGAAGAGATTCGCATCTGATGCCCATCATTGACGCATTCAAGAAACACTATTGTGAATTTACCCTAGCCCTCAACTGATAATCATTGGACTTAAGAACTCTTCATCAATTCTGGTGAAATTTGGGCGCGTCCAACTATTCATTCCATCTTCTAATATTGGCTAAGTTCGCCTTCCCTTAAACTGTTTCGAAAACCGCCCATATGGGACCATTTCCAAAAAAAAAAGTAATTTTCAACTTGTAGCAGATATTGATAGCGAACTTTAGTGCAAACGCTTCGTGAGTCCAAATCTAAGTAATCATCAACCGGCACGATCTCAACATATATAAAGCACTAATCGTTATTCACCCTAATTTGAATATAGTTTTCTTAATTGTTTCAATTTTCAATTTTTCCATTTCAGGTTATGAAAACCGCTTACTCAGCGTTTACCGTACTCAACAATTTGAATTAAAACTGAAATCAATGAAAATGTAGATTTTTCTTTAAAAACAATATGTTATTGCAATGCATTTCACATTCGTTACTTAACAGTAGAAAGCATATTAAGTATGTCGTTCAGTTTATCACACTCATAACTATATATTAAATGTCGTATAATATATGTTCGCGGTATGTAAATATCAAACCGGAATTTACCCAGGGAGAGCCTTAGCTGTCAAATTGCGTCCATAGCGTCCATGTTTTCTCTTATTAACGTTCGCCAGAGATTTCCGACTCACAACAATACAAGTTTCATGCATTAGCTTAGCTTGTAATAACGTTAAACACAACGCACTTTATACCAACAACAGAGCATTTTCCTATGGCATTATTTTTTACTGAAGAGCGATAAACGGCATTATTTTAAAAATTCAAATCCCCAAAAATTCATGTGTAGATCGAGGCATACCATCCACTGTTTGTAGTAATTAGAAGGGCGTCCTCCGTTAAAATCCGAAAGTTGATTAAAAGATTTGAAGGATGCGCTGTTCAAAAAACCAGCCAGAATATTAAAAAAAGCACGACATCCGTCCATCCACCCGTATTGCAAAACTGAATCGAGCCATTTTGGACGCACTCAATAGGGAAGCGTAAGCCCAGGCGCATAACTCACCAGACTTGGCTTCTTCTGATTACCATATGTTCAGACTGACAGATCTCGTTCAACGTTTTGATTCATATGAAGATGCGAGATGATTGGTTTGTGGCGAAAGAAAAGGGTTTTTAAAAGCGTGGCATGCATAAATCGTCAAATCACAGGGAAAACTATATATATAACTAGCGATGGACAATCTTTCGAAGAAAATATTTTTCATCATTATATGATATACTACTTGTGATGCAGAGATATATTTAGAATCACTTTCGATTTAACCGATTTAATCTTGGCTGTCTCCGTATTTGCCTGTCCGCCCTGTTTTATTGTATTCAATGCACAGCTCGCGCTTTATGAGTTATTTTAATGAAGGTTTTTACACCGACGTATTATTTTGACCCAAAAACGAAAATTATTGAAAATGGTACGGATCGGACCACTTTTTCGACCATTTTCCATATAACGCTTTAGTTTGAAATTTCATTACATGAATCACAGTAGGCCGGTAAAGGGCATTATTTTATTTATTTGGCTTTCATGTTCGTATACATATGTAGTCATAAGCATACATATATACACATATATATTAATCAGTCCGTCCATTGGCATTTTGGTACCAGTCATGGACATTTATATAAAAACTGAAACTTATTTGAAGAGTAAAATCGACTAGCGTTCGCACTAAGCAAAAAATTTATACAAAAATCACTGATTTGAAATTTTTACATAAACGAATTCATGCCTATAATGAAATATGAAAAAAATCTGTAAGGAGGAAATTGTAATGGAGGAGCACATCAATGGAAATATTTATTGTATTTAACCTCACTAAACGCAGCGACAAATTCACCGTTTGGTAAGTTTCGAGGCGTTTTTTCGAAGAATATAATTTGATTTGAATCTTCTTCTTTTTACTTTGTTTTCTAACCGTTCGAAAATGGTCTACAGAATTCGCAAATTTTAATTTGGACCGAAAGTTTCGTGAGATGATAGTCACTAGAAAATTTCATTTTATAGGCTCCGCTAAAATTTCACGACAACCGAATGAAAATCGAAAGATGCGACAGCCTGGTTATCTCGAAAATTATTGTTTTGACGAAGAAAGCGTTTATGAATTTTCATCTCCCACCTCTAGTTGCTTTAGTGGCTTAGAAGACTTGTACGGATCTGGCAGGATTGTGTTTTAAAATTTTTTTTTATCTTGAATTACTTTAAATACTTACCAAGCCAAAGTCCAATGCATTTGAAGTACGTGAAATACATTGTCTCCACGGCTAAGTTCGGGAAATCGATTTTCTTGTCTAATAAAAATATTGGAAAATTTATTCTTAAAGATTCCTATTTACTTTAGAAGATACCTTGTGTAAGTTAATATTGTGATGTCAATGGTAATTGAAACGCGCGTGAGCCATAAATGGTGAGGGACAGATTCGAAATCGAGCACTCTGCAGAGTGAATTTATCGGTCGTATTCTCTAAATCGATCAAGTACTGTAGGAATAAGGAAGCTCCTAGGCCTATAGGGATTGTCTGACTTTTTGGGTAAGATCAGTTCATGTTAATATAAACCGTCGTGCCGGCGTTGTGTCAGAGATTAAACCGTAAGACTGGTATTCACGTTCACATCGTATAAATTAATTTATCTTTATCTTTATAGGATATTTGGCGGATATTTTCATAGAATTTTTTATTGGTGCCACCAAGGCCCCCTAAACGGTTCCGTGGAAACTCGATCAGCGCAGTTAGAATCGTATGAGATTTGGAAGTCATAAGTAAATCCCTACCAAGCTACATATATTAACATAATATGTATATACATTTTAATTATATTTAATTTATTTTTTTTTTTTCAGGTGTGACATACTTTTATTTTCTTAATAAATTTTTTAAATAATGTTTTAATATTTATAATAATTAATAGTTTATACATTATGCTTATGTACGAATTTTAGAATTTTAAAACTTCTAAATATTATTTTATTTATTTATTTTCTTTTTCTTTTTTTTTTTTTCTTTTTTCTTTAATATATTAAGACTAGATATATAGATAGAGATTTCATTATATATAAATGTAATTAATTTTTTACTATAAATGCATAAACATTTTTACTGAATGCTGTACAATATTGAAAGTTTACTTAAAGCAAAGATTCTTTCTTTTTGGGGAGAGAAAAAAAATAAAATAAAATAATAATAATAAATTTCAGATAGCGATGAAAGGAGCTGACATATATACTACTTCCCTATTGGGATATTTTCAATTATCGCAATAGGAGTCATATACCATAAATAAAGTTGACATTTAGGATAAACGAAAATATCGTAGAGTTTAAGAGCGAGTATAAAACCGGCGTTAATTTAATTATAAATTTTTACCATACTCGTGGTCGTTAAAAAATTGATATTAAAAACTGACGCGAACTGATATAGATAACCTCAAATTCAGACATGTACAGATGCTACTGAATCAGAGATTATCTTTCCATTCTCTCTCTCTCTCTCTCTCTCTCTCTCTCTCTCTCTCTCTCTCTCTCTCTC